AGAGAGAGAGAAAGAAAGCCAAAAAAGCAATTCAATATTCCCTTATTCTTCAAAAATCTTCTTTTACTGGCTTTTTATGCAACTGCACTAGTCACTAAGAAATATGACTACCAAACAAAATTGTTACTTAGTAAAGTAATAAAAACCTTTCAAATGCCAGAAACCGCTCATGTGTCCATATCTGGGGTCTTCAGAAGCCCGAGAGTAGTCAGGTTTCACCCTTCCTCACCACATAGTTTGTGTCTCTGTAAGGATGCCAGTTCACCGGGGATAGACTCTGTGGGTGATTGATCCCTGCGCCAGGCTCATCACAGCCAGGAATCAACATTGGTCAGACAAACATCGGATGCAGAAGGATGGTGGACATCTCCAGTTCTGAACTTCATGTGGAGGCCTGAGGCAAAGTCATTTTTTGAAAGAGAAGAAGTCAGACTAGCAGCACAAAGTGTTCTAAACTCATTTCCCCTGTGAACACGGATAGGCCAGGGATTCTTTTTGTGACTCGTTATAGGAGTAACAGGCCAGAAGCCCGACTCTGGAAATTCAGTAAATCAGATCCGGCCTCTGGCTTCAAAAGCGCGTGGTGAAAAGTATGAACGCAGTTGGAACAGTTCACTATGCTGGGACAACAAAGGGACCCATAACCTTACCCGTACTTCCAGGAAGTGACAGTGACCTTAAGGTTGCATAGTAAGGGAATGAGGGGTAGGTGCAGAGGGTTTGCCACCTGTGTGATTTTCCCAGCTGCCAAGCTGGTGTGCTGATCAGGTGTGGTCTGTCCCTCATGGTCTCAGGATTGGTCAGGTCAGGACTGTCATGTAAAAAAGTTCAAGGTGTTTGTCAGCATAGACCTTGTTCCTGGGGTCCAAGATAAAGATGGATGCAAAACGCCAAGTCTTTGCCCGCATTTAGCTACCCATTGAACGTTTGCAGGAAAAAAATGAAGACTCTCAGTTCTTGTTGCAGGCTGAGTTACTATTGTTTGATTGCTGAGAGAATGATCACCATCGGATGTCCAAATGAAGCCTGGGAGTGGAAGAACACACAATCGCTTGAGTGGGTGGGCCTGATGTGGGGTATTTTTAGGATGAATGAAATCTCTGATGGGGCCTCTGGCTCAGCAGATGACAAGGCAGGTCCAGGACAAGTGGGGCGCCAGGAGGAGCCCCATCAAGCCCAAGGCGAGATAACAACGTTCCATCGCCTGTCAAAGTCTTTGGCTTGACTTTGGATTGAAGGACGCCAGCCTTGCGCAATTGGCCCAAAGTACATACAGAAAACACACGCTTCTGCTTCCTGCCACCGCCTAAGCCAGTTTTGTCCCTTGGCACACTATGCCTCAGCTGAAAAGAGCAATGTCACAAGTAATCCACACCGCAAATAAAGCATTCATGGGTAATTAAAAATGGGCTCATCTTCTGGCATTTCCACTCATTTCTTCTATTTCTTTTTAAAAAACAAGTGCCAGTTTCTATTTCCTCTGTTAACAATCCTCTTTGCTTTGGCCCTTAATTGAACTGGATTGGACTTTGAAGCCTTAGAGGTTACCTTTCTCTTGATTCCAAGACACCCGCCTCCTGGCCTTTTTTGACCTGGATAAATACCACGTTCCCTCAGGCTTCTGAAGTGGCTCTTCCCTCTGACTAGGTCACTCCCCAGGGACTGACTTCAGATGCTGTGTCCACTCATTCCAGTCTCACCTACAATGGCACCTCCTCCCTCACGCTGCCCTGAAATGCTTCAAGGACACTGAGCCTCATCAGGTCATCTGTAACCTCATTCTGATTTTCTGGTTGTTTTGACCTCTGCAGCAATGACTACTTTCTCAGATCGTTCATTTACTCTTAGATATATTCATGGTCTTCCTCAGTAGAATCCAGCTCCCAAGTGGAAAGGCCTGGACTAAGTTGTTCCTACAAATGAATCTATAGCACATAGCTCAAGGTCATGGGGAGGCTCAAAGGAGCACGCACTACACAACGGATGGATATATGATGGGATGCATGGATGATCAGTTGTAAAAATCCACCTAGAGGGTAACCATTCAGTCATGAATATCTTGTTCTAGCCCATGGGATGGATGCTTTACCTAGAGCATTCTTACAAAACCTCAGCACGGTATCATCTCTCCCATTTTACAAAAGAGAAAAAGGAAGCTCAGAGAGACCCGCGCTGTAACCAACAGAAGACACATCGGGGCGTGGATCCAAAAGCACAAATGCATGAGGCCCAATCCCATCATCACCTGCCATCCAGCACTGTCTGCCTGACAGCCTATTGACTCGCAACACCTTTGACTCAGTAGAAGAAAAATCCTAAATCTCCAAGAAGGAAAAGTAAATTAATTCATAGATTTGTAATAGAGTAAATTTGTAGAGTTGAATTGGTGAGGTGATTCCTGTAAACAATTAAATGAAAACCTCGCAAGAAGACTTCCCTAATATGAGGTCCTCGCTCAACCTTAAAGCAGCTTTCAAAAAGAGATGTCTATGGGTAAGGAAGGCTGTCCCCCAGAGGATGATTGCGGCATTGCACGACCCTTGCATAGAGGGGATGAACCTCTTGCACCCTGGAGAAGACAGAAGAGAAAAAGTGGAAGAGGCAGAGATTAGGAAGAGGTAAAGAGGAAGACAAACGAGAACAGGAATAGAAGACACACTAGTCATCAGTACAGAGATGACAGGAGCTCACACTGTTGGTTTTCTTCTTTGTAAAACACGATCAGAAACCTTGTACCTAAGGCCATGTGTCAATGCAGTCACAAAATTCTAGGTCTAAAACTCACTGGCTTCTTGGATAATAGGGAAATAAAACTACCCCCATCTGGGACTCTCTAATCAGCAGAGGAAAGAAAGACTTATGGAAATTTCACTATTTACCACTTTTAAAGCCCCCAAAGAGAAAAGGGTCACAAATGTGGGACAAATTCAATGGCAGGACACTGTTGGGCTTGCCAAGGAAACAACACAGGAACCACTGGAGCAGGTGTTGGTGGAGGAGACCCACACACCAAGTCAGAGGTCGCCTGGGTGCAGGGATGAAACTTAAAGCCACCCTTACCCAGCCACGTGAAGGTGTGCCAAGTTTAGGATTGAGGAGGGACAGCCAAGGAGAGTTAGTCACTGGCCGGCAACTCACTCTGGCTGTGCTTCCAAATCTGGGTCCTGGTCCCAGATGGATGCAGGTAGATCACATTGTAAGGTACCCTCCTGGGAGAAAAGAACCCTGAGGTGTCCTAGAGTGGCAGGGATTTGATCACTGCCTGCGAAGAAGAAGATCACATGCTTCCCCCCTCCTGGATAAACGTTTTCATGTAGGACAGACACAGTGGTGAGCCGGGACCCAGGAATTGGTCCTGATCTCTAAAGTCAGGCCTGATGCTGGCCTTAACTACCAACTTCTCTGCTCCCCTTTGTGAACACAGTGATGAGGCCTGTAATGCAATCAGTGAGATGTTTGCTTAAGGAGCTGACATGTGTGCCCACAGTCAACCACTCTATTATGTGTAATTATTTATTAAATAATTATTCAGAATTATTTATTCTCCAGGTCAGTCGTCCAAGGAGAACAAGGGTCATGTCCTCAGGAGCAAGAAAAGGGACAATTGGTCAGTGATGAGAATTCTGTGTTGGAGGAGAGCTGCTCATGGAGAACCAAGGGGTCCTGGGAACCAGAATGGACCTCGAGATGCAGAGACAAGGGAGGGCACAGACACGGGCTGTCCTCCCTGTGGCTGTGGCAATGAGTGAGGAGCTTCAACCCTGAGTGACTGAGGCAGCAGAGGGGAGCCCATGCAGCTGTGGAGTCAGGGCCTCGGGGGAACACCTGAGCCGTGCTGGGATGTCCCTGGGGGCCAAGGGAAGCAGGAAAATAGAACCAAGAGCCTTCTCTGAAGCTCACAGTTCAGGATTCACGTCCTGGTTGTGCTCATTACTAATCGAGCCCTGAAATTTTACTAAACGTCTTTGTGCATCATTCTCTGAAGCTGAGAGAAAATAACTCAGCCACCTCCTAAGGCAGGTGGGGACACTTCCAGATTGCTCAGGATGGTCCAGGCTCCTCTTCAGTCCTGGCATCCCACCCACTTAGTGCCTCTGTTCAACTCCTAAAACGCCCAGGTTGGAGAATAAGGTCCATGGCTCCCACACAGAGGTTGCCATGGTAAAGTGCTGAGAGCCGTTGCCAAGTAGGACGCATCGTAATCCTTGCCAGCGTACCCCATGTTAATTTGCTGCGACCTTGCTTGTGTGTTTGAGAAAGGTGACCCTGCTCAAGGACCAGGGTGGATCCAGGATTAGGGTGTATCCTGCAGGAAGTATCCCCATCCTTGGGTTTAGGGCGTGACAATAGGAGTTTTAGGGAAGTTGGAGGTTGAAGATTATTCCTGCTGGGAGTAGGGCGTGCCTGCTGCCTGAGTTCCCGCTGAGTTCTCGTGGAAAGTATTTAGGACGTGAATTGTGGGGGACAGGGCATTGCCCCTGAACCTGTGTAGATGGCCGGTGTGAGATCGGGAATAAAGAATTGCTGTTTGAACCTACAAAGCTGTGTGGTGGCTCGTGATTCTGTGCCAAGCCGAGACCTTGGCATTTGGCAGTAAAGGTCAAGGAGACTTAGGAGAGGGCCTGCCCTCCGGGAGGTGCTGTAGCCTGCGTACCATCCGCTACTCAACATCTTTGAACGTTGTCCTGTGATTACACGTCACATTGGGGTTTTGAACATCTGCAGTACTGTAGCCACCCCAGCTGTGTGATACGAGCAGGACCACGCATACAAGTCATAAAGCCGTTCTCCCTTCGAAGAAGAGAGGAGATGAAGGAGTAGGAAAAGGGATGGAGTAATCCAGGGTGAACAAATAAGGTTGACGGTGTAAGACTGCATGTTGTATTTTGCTTATCATTTAGAGAACACATCCTCCTCCCTCTTGCCTATGGCCACGTGTCCTCACTGCAGTCTCGAGGTTGCCTTGGCTCCAAATTCACTGCCCGCTGGTTTGTGCAAAGCCTTCGGAGCCTGGCTGCTTCCCCTTGGCACAGGCTGCGGTTCCCTGGTCCAATCCCCGGTGGATCCTGTCCCTCCCTCCCTCTTTCTTGGGAGGGACTAAGGCAGCTCCCTGGGGATAAAGAGAGGAGCTGTGGCCACTCAGCCCACAGTGAACTCCTTGATCCTGCCCCCCCTCGGGAACAGCCACCAGGAGCCACCTCGCCATGAAGCTGCTCGCAGTCCTCCTGCTGGCTGCCCTCCCCCTTTACTGCTCTGCAGGTGAGCTCTGTGCAGGGAGGGCTGCCTGTGGCCAGGGGGGAGCCAGGGCCCTGGGGAGGAGTCCTGGTCCCCAGGTCATCCCTAGTACAAAAGGTCTGGGTTTAATGGCCCTAAAATTCAACCTTACTCCAGACAACCAAAGAGGCAGCCCTCTCGAGGCCTCGTGTGTCAGGACCCGTCCAGCCGTCCCACTTTGGTCCCAGCGACAGCGAAGACAAGTGAAAGCCTCAGTGTTGAATATTCCAATTAGACATTTCAGAGGGACAAAGGGAAGATGATTCGTGGCCCCACGGCATGAGACCCAGTGGGTTCCCGGAAAGAGGCATCACGAATCATCTTAAATATGGAAGGAAGAGGCAGCCCTGCGGGAGGACAGGCTCAGGCACGGGACCCTCCACCAGGCAACCTGGAGCTACACTGCAGACCTGTGCAGGGCTAGCCTCGCCCTTCCAGGGGGCCCTGTAGCTTCCAGTTGCCCCAGAATGGGGTGGGCACACATAGGCAATGTGTGTAGTGTGTTTTTCCAGTTTCCAACCTTGTTGATGCAGTCTACCTTGTTCCCAAAATGGGGGCCTAATGGGGAAGAGGTGTGCTGTGCTGAAGAAACTAAAGAACTGCAGAGCCCAGGGCATGAGCAGCTCAGGGAGTGCTAAGCTTCTCCCCGCCCCCACAGGTTGGCCACTTGAGATGGCTTCATGTACAAGTTGTTTTTTTATGTTGCTTATGGATGCAGAGTAGAGTGAACACGGTCATGGCAAGTATTTTAAACCCAACAATTCTAGGACTCTTGAAAAACCTATTAGTGTCGCGTGGCATGATGTTGAATTCAGAACTCTCTGTGCAGTAAGTGCTACACCCTGGACTCTCTCCCCTTTGAAGGACTGAGAACCATGTTGGCACAGGGTTTGCCTTCTCCGGGGTTCCTGAGGGGAGGGTGCAGCAGCTGCAGCAGCTGCAGGGCCTGTAGGGAATTCCCTGTCCTAGCATTGGGAGCTCTGGACTGTTCCCCATGAGCTCTCTGAGTCCACGTATCTCCTGGGATGTTCACGGATGACGGACTTCACAGGTACTCCCCGTCATGGGATCACACCGCCAGTCGTGAGCCAAGTTCTGGCGTTTTCTTCCCAGGCGCTGGCTGCCAACTTCTCGAGGACGCTATTTCAAAGGCCATTAATCCTGAAGTAACCCTAGAAGAATACGAGGTTGCTCTCCAGGAGTTTTTGCACAGTGATGCAGACAGAAACGCCGCGGAGCAATTCAAACAATGTTTCCTCAACCAGTCCAATGAAACTCTGGACAACGTTCGACTGATGATGGTAAGTTGGGGTTCTAGGTTTGTGAAATCACTGACTGGGAACAGCAGTCTCTGATCTTGTTATTTTAATAATATCAAAGCTGTTGTCGCAGTGCTTTTTTAAAAAAATACTATGTATTTAAGGGGTGTTAATGAATCTTTGACCTTCAAGAAAACCTTTCAAAATCTGAAAGATAATTTACCAACTTTCTTTGACAATCGTCAGGGACTGATAACTAGAAAATGCAAAAACAACCTCAGAGATTGCTTATGTACCTTTCAGTTACTCAAGATACACACACACACAACACACACACACACACACACACACACACACTCATACACACACATTTTCTAAAAAAGAAAAAAATCTGGTTCTCAGAATGCCCTCACCTTTGTGAGTGATCTACAAATTCAGGTTCCCTCTTGCAAAAGAGCAAATAGTGAAAAAAACAATGAGTTCATAAGCATTGTTGGAGGGTTCCAGAACATTTGAGTAATATTTTATGTTCCTACTCTTAATTATTTAAAATGCACTTCTACGCAACCAAATTTGTTAGCATCGGTGTGTGGAAATTTTGAAACTTTTTATTTAGCAGCTGAGAAAAAACTAGTATAAATCCCAGGTACGAGACACCATGGGGGATGGATTGTTTAAAACAAGAATCAATGACATAAACAATGAGTGTTTCTTTCTAATGACAAACTCCTGATGCTTTTTAGCATTTATTTCATATATCAACATTCTCTTTGAAGCATTGCATGGTAGAGAACGTAGGAATATATCAAAAGACAGAGGGCAGGTTGAATACCAAGTGCATTTGAGGGCAGTGGGATTGCTTTTCTCTCTAAGCACTGTTAGGTGAATCATTCACATTCTGGAGCTCCAGCATTTCATGGAGCATCAAAGGAACAGTGGAGGTCCTCAGCTTCTTTTCAGTAGTTCTCACTTCTCAGACCAGAGGGAAACTCAAAAAGTCACCCGAGTTACCTGAGCAGAGATTTTAACAGTTCAGTGTGGAAGAGTGGTGTGTGCACAGATCCAATTGTGTCCGCAACACATGATACCTGTGGCACATTTAGTGGAAAGTTGTTTCCAAGAACAACGTTCAATACGCCTCTTGGAGAAATGATTCAGAAATCGCAGCAGTTCTCTGGTATTAATCCGTGTCTTCTGAACAATAGAGCACACGAACAGGTACTCTCGTCTTGCTTCCTGGATTTTATGAAAGGCTTGATGGTTCTTGAGAAACTAAGGTAAATAACAAGTGGATGTTTCGGTTTTGAGTATTTGACTTTGCAGGACAGAGTTGAAAAGCTAATTGAAGTCCCTGCCCTTTTTTCCCAGAAATCAATATATGACAGTACATACTGCAGAGCTTTCTAAGTTTCCACCAGTCCTTTGGCTCAGAGAATTCCTGAAGACGTGATAAAGCGACCACCGATGCTCTTCTGTTCTTTCCTATTTTCATCCCTGTACCTGTGACTGCAAGACACTCATTGAAATCTTAAATGCAATTTCATTTCAATAAACTTTCCTGCAAATATAAAGCTTCTTTTTGTTCTCACTTAACATGGGAGGTTTTCTGGCTGGAGTGGAGCAGGGCACACACTAGGATGGAGACTGAATTGGAATGGGTTGTGCTCCATGCTTTTGTGATTATGTCAGCATGTATCGGGTGCTGTAGATCACTAAATAGAATAAATTTTAAAAATATGAGGTTTTTCAAAGAAACACTCTGCACACATACACCTGAGCACTCTCAGGCATGCGCACACACACTCATACACAACTGAATCATACACGATTCATGCAGATCTCTTGTCTGTGGGTTGACATTTCTGAAAAGCGCTTTGTTCCTAACTGTCTGCCTGAGTATGGGGGCTGTCCCTGGGGAAGGGCTTTTCCTGCCCTCTCACTGACAGAGGACAGGCAGACAGGAATGGTTAGGGTACGAGATCAAGGGAATATGTCTATAAAATATGGGGGTGATAAAAAAAATGCACAAGACTCTTCTCTGCAAAAAAAAGCCAAGAGAAAAAAGTGTAATTCCTAAACATTTTGTGACACGACCCAGAAAAATACCATCTGATCCTTTTCTATATACTTAAGGAATTTTAAATATACTTCTAAGGAACCAGGTTTAGGAAAACTTGAGCCTTTTCACTGAGTTCTCATGAAACAGGGTGGACCACGGTTATGCAACAGCATGGACGATGGAGTGTTCAACACAAAAAACAAAAGGGTACGGCAATGACTATTTTATCTAATGACCAGTACAGACAGGCTGCTCGATTCTGAGCTCAGCTCCTGCTCAGACTCCCGCAGCCAACACTGTCCTCACGTCCACCTGGAGCCCTGCTTCTCGTGGCTTATGGTTCAGAAAGAGGAGGACAGGAAGGACTCCGTGGAGAGGGTGCTGCTCCTCCCACACAGAGCTCAGGAACAGCCGCAGGAAGAGGAGGGGCCAGCTGGGGTGGACGAGAGATGGTGACCCGGGTCTAGCCGGAAAGCATCCTTCTGCGGCCACTTTAACACACGTGCATGGATGGATCTGGGCAAATTGTCCATCTGGTGGAGGTAGAAGTGGCACCTGAATTCAGCCACTTTTCCCAGAATAAGGGAATAGGCTGGCCATGGCCTGGGAAGGGTCATGGTCACCAAGGTGTTTTCAGGTTCCTGCTGAGGACATCCTGAGAAGTGAAATGAAGTGTGAGCTCACGCAGGTCAGCAGTTTCCAATAATGTGTGCTCCAGACACCCAACACAATAAAAATAGAATCTAGAGGGCTCTTTACTTGTGAGACCATAGTATCCAGGGGTTGTGGCCAGGTGGTGGGTGAGTTCTGGCTAATAGAAGTCAGGGAGGTGACAAACATCGTGTCCAGATGTGGCCCATAGAACCTCCTTCCTCTCTGCCGCCTCTTTCTTTGGACACGTCATGCAGCGTTTCCTGGTCCTCAGGCACTCGGTGTCGGGAGCCACTCATGACAGGATGCTGGGACCCTGAGTGGCTTCGTGGGCCAGGACCCTAGCAGGACTGAGGGCCAGGAGGGGCCTGCTTCAGCTCAGGGCTATATTTTCTCCAGGGGGAGAACATTATCACTGATGTTATTTAGAAAATCCAGCCCAGGGTTACAAGAGAAAGCAGATGTGTTTTATCAATATTTTGATTTACAGTCTCCCCAGGGCACGCCCCTATTCCCTACACCCTGGGGAACCAATTCCCCTGGCCCCCTGGAAACTCCGGGGCGTCTTGTGTCCATCACCTCTGAGGGAAAAGCTCTGTTGGACTGAGATGTAATAATAATGAATCCCGAGCATGGAAACCACTGAGATCATATAAAAACAGGTAGAAAGAGGAAGACGTTCGTGTGTGCTGAGGACAAGAGCAGAGATTCAGAAAGGCCTCGCAATTGACCCTGATTTCCTACTTTCCCTGTCTCTGAGCAGATTTAGTGAAAAGCACACGATTCAACACCCCAAAGTGTGTTTAAAACAACTTTACTTGCATTTTAACACAAGGAAATATGCAGTGCTCGCTAGGTTTTTGTGGGAGGCCATCCTCGCACGTGATTTGACTTACCTCCCTGGCTGGGTGAGAGGCGCTCAGACACAGCTGTGTCAGAGCTTTCCCCACCCTTCTCCAGGTCCCAGGGCTTGTCCGTGCAGAAGCGTGTCTGGCCACTGTCCCGAAGACCCAATTGTTGCCCCTGACCTTGGGATGCTGCCCCCCTTAATCTTCATTGGATGGATTTTCCCCAGAATTTTTTGTTCCCCAATAAAAGCCCACTCCCTGGCGTTTTCTCTCTCTTTCACTAGTCTCTTCTCTAAACCTTGCTACCGCATTAGGTGGCTGGAGGATGGAGCTGGGAAGAGCCATCCTGGAGCTGGTTTTAAAGGTAATTAGAATCTTGTCTCTTTAATTTAAAACTCCCTAGTGTTTTCTCATGAATCGAACCTTCTTTCATGAAGCCAGCGCGGGTAGCGGGCTAGAGGTTTTCTTAAACCCCTTTTTACTCTCCTTCAGTATCTCTTCCTTCCTTGGTCTTTCCTCCAGTGTCCTTTGGAAAGGTTGTAGGTATTCTGACCTTGGAAATAGACAGGGAAGCGTTCCCCTGGTGAGCAAACTCCTGGTGGGTAACTGGCGCCCTGATTCCCATGAGCGGAAGGAGAGGCTCTTAAGGTAACTAGGCGGATGCACCACCTGGTTTACATAGGGACACCCTCTGAAGGAGAGAGGCTCTGTGTTCGCATTGGCCTGGACCTTATCTCAGCTAGCACTCAGGGTGAAAGGAAGATGGTCAAAGTGTCGTCACTGGTGGTGGGTAATATGTGACCTTTTGGGTTAATAAAGTCGATGGCAGAGAGGGGTGAGCACTCTTTTGTCTGCCATCCTTCTGTCTGTCTGCACCTTCCCTGTGTGTCTGTGTCTGTCCTTTGTGCGCCTCCTCCACAAGTCTCCCTGCACAAAAGGGCTTCTTGGGATACTCTCATATCAACTTTTACCTCCTGTCACCCCTTCTTGCTTCTTGTGAATACTGAACATTGAGTGTGAGAACTATGAAGAGGAAAGTTATTTGTGTTATCCAGACATATGCACTTACACAAATAGGCATAATATGTCTCCATATCCATTAAGAACTTTCATAATTCTTGGTCTTCAGAACCCCTGATGTTCTTAAAAGTCATTGAAGAATCAACCTGCTTTTGTTTACATTGGTTATGTCTATCAATATGTAGCGCATTTCAAATTAAAATGGAAAAAATGAGTAAATATTCCTTTAAGCATAAGAATAATAAAATTGATGCTTTGAATGAAATTGCATCTATTTGTAAAAATAGTTATATGGTCCCAAACAACAACACAATGTGTGTTAAGTGTACAATTGTTTAGATTTTTGCAGGCCTCATTTATATGAACCTCACTAGTACACAGTTAGATTCTCATATATGATTCTTGGTTGACATATTGTTATGTCTCACATCCTCTGGAAACTTTGCAAAATACTTACAAGACAATGAAAGGGACCTGGCAAAATAAAATGAGTGTTGGGCTTTGTTTTGATGTATAATAATTATGCAGAAAGGTGGGTTTGTGGTGGCATATGAACACATGCACATAACATGCCTTCATCCACTTCTTTCCCCTGTACCTCCTCATTTGATTAAAAGAGTATTGTCTCTGTAAAAGCATCTTGGGGACATCCAGCAGTCTCTGAACTGTGCATTGAGAACCACAGAATTACATAGGTCTAAATGAATAAAGAATAAAATTTCTCCTCTGCAACTAAGTAAGGTCACACATTAACCATAAACATGGAATTTCAGGAGCAAGAGTTCATGTAATATCAAAAACTACCGATACCATCATCTTGGAAAATAGTTATTTATTCTGAACAGCACTTACCCCACCTCTCCACAGACCAAGCCCACAGACCAAGCCCCCAGGCCTCCACCATCTGAGGAGCAGGCTCCCCCAGCTGGAGTTCAGGTGGTTGAGCTTTCCCCTGCCTGTCAAGTTCACCTTGTGTGGCTCCCAGCATGCAGCCCAGTCAGGACTTAGGCTGCTTTGACCTTGTACAAAGTTGCTAATGGCTGACTCTTCACTCCAGCCTGGATGCTTTCCTTGTTTCTCTTCATGCCAAGCCCTGAATGCTCATGCGGTGGCATTTTCCATGCTCTGTAATCTTTTAAGCAAAGTTCTACACAAGCCCTTGTGTACATCTAGATCCAAAGCATTGTTATTTACTTATATTCAATTCAATGGAGGTAAATCGATCTCTTTACGCATCTGCCTTCTCCACAAGATTGAAGACTGTTGGCTGCATGGATGGGCTTTTTTTTCATTTTTTTTTTTTTTCATCTTTTCAAATGTAACTCTGACCCAAAGGCCCCCAGAAAGAGTATTTCTGAAAAATAATGTAATTTCGTAACTAAACTAAATTTTGCAACTAAACTAATTTTGCAACTAAAATGTAGTCTCCGTTCACTGAGCCCGACAATGTAGAACATGGAATCTCTCTGAATGTTTGCCATATGCTGTAGGTCTCTGGAGGAGAACTTACATGCCATCCCCAGAAGCACAGCCCCTACGGGTTTCCCGGAGTTCAACTGCCCTGTTCCTCTCTTCTTGTTAAAAGAGGGCTCTGCATTATCCTGCCAGGTGCACATAACAACTATCTCTCTGTATTTCATTCTTGTGGAGCAAAATACAAAAACTTGAGAGGCCCACAGGATGGGAAAACAAACAAACATGAGACTGAATCTGAGCAGGAATCCATAAGGGGTTCATGAACCGAGGGCACAGGAGAGGGTACATGAGACGATGTTGTTGGTGTGAAAGAAAAAGAAGTAACTGTGAGATAAAAGTAGAGAGGGAGGGAAAAGGCACAAGCACGCCCTAATTTGAAGAAATGAGAGGGCCTGGATTTGTGCATCATGATAAAGGGATCATCTGAACAAGGCAGAGTGTCCACTGCTCTACACACTGGCTGTTGTGGAATCTCAAGGACATTCATATTGAGAAAAAGTAGTCTCCATTCACTGAG